TATACTATTTTTAGACTCGTTAAGAAAATGGCAACTTTTAAGAATGGAATTTTCCATCCCATATTACATTTTATTGCAGATGCTCGCAGTTTGCATCCTGTCAAAAGAAAAGTTAACAGCAACACTTTGTTTGCTACAATTCATAACAAACTTCAGACAATTGTGTCAAAACCTGTCCAATATATACTAGTCTTCTTCCTTTTCTTTGCATATGGTACAGACAGATAAACATATGTCAAAGCATTATTAAGTAATAACAGTTTTATTTCCCCACATTGTCAGTTTGACAACAAGCACAAAACTTATTATAGCTACGTATTGTTGTGCTTGTTGCAAAACTGACATTAAATGTAATTATCATATGTTATTCATTATGTCACAAACAGATATAGCATACATATGTCATTTTAAGTACTTCTTAGACCATGATTGCTACTTTTGTTGTCAAAATAAAAAAAGTTAATATGTGTGGTATGGACCAGAAGTTCCACTATGTATTCATGATAGAACTGACTTCTATGACAACATTTAATTAAAACACCCATATGAAAGCTTAGCAGAGGAGAACAGGAAGAAAATTTATTTTTGATGGCATACAGTTCAATGTCACAATTGTTTACTAATCTGACTGTGTAAATTCACTAGAGAGATCGGGGATATTTTTCCTCCTGACTGCACAGAGTTGTTTACAAATTTCACCTTTCTCTCGAAGTGTTATCAAGCATGCACGAGCAATGGAAATCATAGTTCAAGGACATCTTAGTAGCAGTCTACAATACCGAGCACTGGCACCATGCATTTATTTTTATGCCAGCAAAACTGTTGCTTTGCCAAATTGAACAAAGTTTCATAAATTTGTTCAGTTATTTGCCAGTCTTTGCTTTCGGCCAGCAAATTTAAAGACCCTTGTGTTCAGCAAGTTCACTGGGTAAAAAGTATATTGATGCAATTTATAGAACTAGGCTAATAGAAAAAAGAAACTATTAGTAACCTTTCATTATTTGGTGTAAAGGGCCCATGTTTAAAGAAATAACAGGCAGCTCTCTAGGAAATAACGAGAGGGAGAATTCCATTTACAGGGACTCAATCCAAACAAAGGCCCACAGAAAAGATCCTTAAGGTCGAGATCCCACAGGTACTAGTAAATACTTGCTTGTAGGCATTTAGAAGGGTGAAATTACCTGTTAAAAGTAGCCCTTTGCTGACATGAAATGGAGTCCTGTCAGTGTGAACTATACATGGCAGGGGTGCAAAAGCCCTGTAGATCTGATCCACTACTACCATTTAATCACAATTTTTTCCTTTCCAGAAAAACCAAAGCTCCCAGAGAACTACCAGCAACAAACATGGCTGATGTTGAAGGAAGCAGTGGAGGCCATTCACAAGAAATGTTCCATAAAGTCAAGTTTAGAAGAATTGTATAAGGTAGAACTTGATGGCCACTTCATCGTGTCTTTCTGTACTGTTAAAAAAATCAACTTTTTATACTCAAAATCATCCCCCTGGACCCTATGCCATATTTTCCAACTATTTCATGAAATGGCAGCCTAATGTTTATACCATATGAATATTTGTTTTGTTCAAGATATTTTTAGTTGCCTTGTGGACTGTAAGGGACTTATATTTACAAAATTTCTTATCTGTTTCTGGCCATACAGTGTTAAAATGAAAACATATTTCCTCCTGTTCACAAAGACTTAGGGCTTATTTGTCATGTGTTTTCATATTTTTTACTTGGGTCTCAGATATTTATTTGATAACAGTAGCAGTGTTTTTTTTTAATATTTTCCCAGGCTGTAGAAAACATGTGCTCTCACAAGATGTCAGCCACTCTGTATGAGAACTTGAAGACAGTGTGTGAGGATCATGTCAGGGACAATATACACCAATTCCTGGGATATCCTTGCCTGAATACTGGGGATAACACAATCTCAGACCCCATTCTCATTGTGCACATTTAGAAGAGCGAACTAACAGATCCGTGGATCAAATATGGCTGACCCACTTGAATGCTTGTTGCATAATCCTGCAGGGAATGTATTCAGTATCTAATTGGGAATTAAGCAACAAGCTTTTTAGTGGGTCGCCATATTTGATCCCCGGATCTGTAAGCTATTCTGAATGTGCTCACAGACACTATTGGTGTATGTAGATTGATCCAAGTCTGCGGGGATACTCACTGAGTGCAATCAGCTGAAGTGAATGACATGCCTCCTCTTGTTTCCAACATACTCGTGTAATCTCCAGCTTTTGTTTAATCTACTCAGTGCCAGGAGGAGGCGTGGCTGTCAGTTAAGGTGGTTGCGAGTGCTCCTGCAGAGTTGGATTGATCTTTGTAGACTTATGGTGTCACTGGGAATGGGTCCTTAGAAAGAATTAAAGATCAAATAAATAATTGAAAATAAAAATCTGTTGTTTTTGGTATAGATTCATTAGGCAGAAATTAATAACTTTTAAGAAATAATCATTAGGCCAAAAATGTATACTTATTATGTAATGCTTCCTTGACCATTGCCACAGAAACGATGGACAGTGGCCAGTTCCTGAAGTTAATGGACACTTGCTGGCAGGCCCACTGTGAACAAATGGTAAGTGAGTGGTAAGAGACTAAGGGTCTCAAAGTTCCCTAGATTTCAGGGATGAAATTTTTCTGTTAGTGGATTTCTGACTTTTTAGGAACCAAAAAATATCATTAGCCTTGTTGGCTCCTTAGACATCTGCCACATTTTCTGACTTTTTTCACTAAATGGCAATCTCATCCTTGCAAACAGCTCACAAGTACATAGATTTGTTTTCTAATACTGTTAAGAATAACGAAAATGATGTGATTTTTTTGAAGATGCGTTATTAGTGGGTAAAAAGGTTATATTTTTTACAGCCCTTCGGTTAAAAAAAGTAAAAATATATGTTAGATGGAGTTCAGTTGCTGAAGAGGATACTGGTGCCCTATCTGATTCAATTTGGATATCAGTTAATGAGTTATGATAAATATATTTTGTTTTTACTGTCATTGAACAAGTGGGATATCAAAACATTCATAATCTTGTTTTTCCATTGTTCTAGATAATGATAAGAAGTATATTCCTGTTCCTGGATAGAACATATGTGTTACAGAATTCCACCATTGCTTCTATCTGGTAAGGAATTTATTATTATTATTATTATTATTATTAGTATTATTATTAGGAAATTTAAATTGAAAAAAAAAGAAAATTTTGAGGAAGGTATTCCTCTTTTACTTTGTTTTACATCACTGTTTTATTTATCCATGTATTATTGTGGTAATTCTATTATCTGTCCATTTCTTTCTTTCTTTCTTTCTTTCTTTCTTTCAATACTGATATAATTGCCATGTTCCAGGGACATGGGTCTAGAGCTGTTCCGTGTGTACATCATCAGTAACACCTTAGTCCAGACCAGAACAGTGGATGGTCTCCTGATGCTGATAGAGAGAGAGAGGAACGGAGAGGCAGTGGACAGACTGCTGCTGAAAAGTTTACTGAGGATGCTGTCAGACCTACAGGTAGAGGCCACTCCATTGGTAGAGTGGAAAAAAGATGTGATCTGTTTTCAGAAAAGGATTTTAGTCCAAAAGTTCGTGTGAACTTTCTGATTAAAGGTTTACTGTACTTTAACCTAACATAGATAAGTTATAGTCCAGTGAATTGAAACCTTTGCCAGTTTTATAAGATAAAAAGACATGTTTTAGAACAACATACATTTTAGGTAGACTAT